TCTGCGGGCTCCTCGGGGTGGAAGCTCTCCTGCAGGGCCTCCTGGATCCTGACAGCCCCCCCGATTGACCCCCCCGGATGGCAGCCTGCAGCAAATGCAGCCGGGCTGATGGCAGAGTGCTATGATGTGCCGAGTGTGGGCACTCAGGGCACTCCAAGCCAGGACTTCTTTGCTGTCCCTCATCAAGGTAGACAAGTAAGCGGGGAACCCTGAGAACTATCTGTCCGAGGTGGGAGTCGGGTCCCTTTAAGCACAGCCCTCGGATAGCCTGAGACAGCAGCTCCACGCTCTAAGTCCTAACCTGATGCCCTGCTGGCACTGGTTCCGGTCAGCCTTAACTTCGGTTCAGGGTCCACTCAATGTGGACATGCTAGTTCGAATTAGCAAAATGCTAATTCGAACTAGTTTTTAGGTCTAGATGCACTAGTTCGAATTAGCTTAGTTCGAATTAACTAATTCGAATTAAGTTAGTTCGAATTAGTGCTGTAGTGTAGACATACCCTAAGGGAGTGCTGAGTAATGTTAGAGGGGGCACAAATGGGATCGGGGAAAGTAGCCCCAGCCTTGGCCCTAGTACAGCTGCTTGTCTATAGACTTATCAGAGGCGGCAGCCCGGGGGAAAGAGGGGCAGGCAAAATGCTGGCACAGCCCTTGTCCACAGGGAGCTTGGGCCCCTGAGAACAGAAGCTGCTGTGGACCAGCTGCTGATACAGAGGCAGCAGCACAGGATGGCAGGGTCCTCCCTGGGAGAGGATCTGGGAGCACACTGGCTGACAGCCTCCCCTCCAGGGATTATCAAGTAATTGAGTAACCACTAAGATTTTAATTAAACAATATCTAACATCCCTAATGCTTACTGGTTAACCTTTCACATCCCTAGCATGAATGTTCCCAGCTATAGAATAATTTAAATACTGGGCCTGATCCTGGGACAAGAATCGGTCACCTATCAAAGCAATAACTGGAAAATCATGGGTATTCTATTTAATTAATACACACTCTAAAGATCAGACAGCACCACACTTGGCTCCCTTACGTATGTCCAGCACCAGCTGTCCCCTGCACTTGGCCCCAGCTCCTGAGGGGGACACGCAGACCAAGGCAAGATGAGACAACATAAAAATTTTGGGGACCACTGAACTAGATTATACCATTCATAAAGAAAAATCGTTTATTGGTTTTCACATTGCCTGTGCTGGAGAATCTACCACAACCCTTGATGAATTGTTCTGCTGATTAACTACCATCACTGCTGAAAATGTACAGCTTATTTCTATTTGTAGGATACTTGTAGATCTTCCATTTCCTGTGTCCTCAAACTAAATATTGCACTTATTACAGAATTTTAGAATGTCATGCTCCCAGAAGGGCTGTTTGAATTGTGGAAAGAGAATGAAAGATTTTACAACACCACACAAACTTTTACAGAAAAATTAGCTATGTAGTATCCTAGAAAGATGCTAAATACAAAAGAGATTATTCACAAAAAAATCACAGGATGATCATCAAATAATAATTTAGTCTAAATTAACCTCGCAAATCTAGGACAAATGAAATTACAGCAGTAAAGAATGGATGAAATTATGAGAATTAGCAGAGAACGTGAGACTATTATCCATCATTCATTTTCCTAAAGGAGAAAGGCTCACAGACACACTTACTGTGTTAGAGTCATGGATTTCCATATCTCTTCTATATTTGCCTGAGTTAACTCTTGGCGGTGCACAAGTCTGCAAGCTGGTACTTCTCCTATTGCTATACTGTGACGTTTGAACCACATTTCAGAATTCTGGATTACAAGAGAAAAAAGAAAGAGCATATTATTTTACCTACCAATATTTTGTCAATGATAAATTAGTATAACTTATACATGCTTCCTCTTCCAAGCAATTTATGAACATTAACAAATACTCATAAAATCCTTGTGCAGTATGTGCTGTTTAGATTTTATAGCTGGGAAGCATCTTGGCCTAAATTAAGTCATTTGTCCAAACCCCCTCCAATGTGTTCACATCCTTTCTATAGTAGGGGAGGTGGGGGGGCCAGAACTGGACACAATACTCCAGGTGTGGCCTCACCAGAGCTGAATGAAGGGGAATAATCACTCCTCTGGATCTGCTGGCAATACTCCTCCTAATGCATCCTAATATGTCATTAGCCTTCTTGCTACAAGGGCACACTGTTGACTCATATCCAGCTTCTCATCCACTGTAATATCCAGGTCCTTTTCTGCAGAACTGCTACTTAGTCATTCGGTCCCCAGACAGTAAAAATGCATGGGATTCTTCCATCCCAAGTGCAGGACTCTACACTTGTCCTTGTTGAACATCATCAGATTTCTTTTGGCTGAATCCTCTCATATGTCTAGGTCACTCTGGACCCAATCCCTGCCATCCAACGTATCTACCTTTCCCCCTAGCTTAGTGTCATCTGCAAACTTGCTAATGGTGCAATCCATCCCCTCGCATATACTTTGTGACATTCGGGGTGCAATCCAAACCAATCAGTATCTGTGTCACTCCCCTGTAACCTGGGATGCTCTTTACAATGCCTTGCTGCTGTAGCAACCTGAGTTCCAACATGAATTGCCCACAAGCAGCTCTAGCATGTAAATCACTCTCAAATCTGGTATGCTGCAGCTATCCATAAAACTTGGCTCTTACAAGCATTAAAGACTACCACCGAATTACCCCCACCACATTCCTCGTCCCAAATTTTCCCCTAGAAACATATGGCCTGTACTATCCATCCTCTCCTGGACAGAGCAAATATATCTCATCTGTTATTCCATTAAAGTAATAATATGCACACAACTCGTTACCTCAAATGGAATCACTGACCCTTCAGCTTGAAAACACTAAATTAGATAAAACAAGTTTATTAACTACAGAGGAATAGATTTAGATTGAAGAGCGGACTCAAGTAATTAGGCATGCAAGTTAGAAATGGCTACAAGATAAAACAGTTACTAATGCCTAACCTAAATTTAATTAGATTTTAATTGAAGTTCTCTCACCACATGCCTTCATCAGCCTTAGGGCATGCCTACATAGCAGGGCTAAGGTCAGAATAAGCTACACAACGTCAGCTACCTCAGTTGCATAGCTGAAGTCGAAATAACTTATTTCAGCTTTTGGCACTGTCTACGCAGCAGGAAGTGAAAAGAAGAGCACTCTTCCTCCGACTTCCCTTCCTCCTCATGAGGGTTACAGGAGTAAGAGTAAGAAGTCCTCCAGCTTGACATTATTTCAAAATAAAGGCTTGCAGTGCAGACGCGCATTTTGTTATTTTGGAATAACGTTAGTTATTCTGAAATAACACTGCTGTGTAGATGTACCCTTATTGACCAAACTCTTTACGGCAGGATCCCTCCCATCAGATTCCAACGGCTGCTTCCTTTGTCTCTTCAAGTATAAATCATGTGATGGATTGGGGGGG